ACGCTCCGACGCCGACGGCCCGACGAAGACGCCGGCGGCGATCCGAGGCCGCGGATCGCCGGTCTCCGGCGGCGCCCACGCGTGGGGAGGGGCGGGCGGGCGGGAAACCTCCCGCGCACAGGTCGGCGCGGCCGTCGCCGGTGGTGTCGATGCCGACGCAGGTCCTCGCCGCGGGATCGGCGCGGCAGCGGGCCGTGCGCCCAAGAAGAAGGAGAAGGAGGAGGAGGAGGAGGAGGAGGAGGAGGAGGAGGAGGAGGAGGAGGAGGAAGAGGAGGAGGAGGAGGAGGAGGAGGAGGAGGGGGGTGGCCAGGAAGAGGGGGCTGCGCATATCTTGAAGAGGCCCAGGGGCCCACACAGAGAAAGAGGCACAAGTCCCAGGATTCCCTCCATCTTCTCAGATCTTCTGGGTTTTCGTGTCCCCCCCCCCCCGCTGCCCACATTTTCCTGGGAGTCGTCGATGAATTGTGTCTGTGTGTGTGTTTTCCCCTCCTGAATCATGGCCAGAGGCGCGTGCGCTGCGCGGACGCGCGGGGGCCGTGGCACGTTCTGGAACAAGAAGAAGATGGGCAGCGAAGCCTGGGAGATAGTTATCATGGCCCTGGTCCATGATATCTGCACCCCCTTGGTCCATGATATCTGCACCCCCTGGTCCTCACCCTCCTCTTGGACGCTACGCTCCTGATGTCTGCGAGCTCGGCTCGGCATCGAGCTGGGAGATCGAGTTGGATTGGAACGTGCGTCGGGTCGTGCCGCATCTCGGCACGGAATCGGACTTGGATCGGATCGACGACTAGGATATTGGATTCGGATCGAAGCTTTTTGTGTTGGGCTGTGTGATTGCGTGGTGGCGCGGTAGCGTTTGCACCCCCTCTCGTTGCGCACTAAAGAATTTGTATAAGCAAACTGGGTGCCCAACATATTCCGTCATTTGGAGAACACAAAAGGAAACTCATCTCACTGGTGTCCTTGTCTTTCCCGAAATCTTCTGACACTAACGCCTCCCATGACAATCTATGTTCTGTATGGAGCAACACCGGCCAGTTGTTATATCAGCGGACGCAGTCAACAAACAATCAACTCACATCCAACGATTCCAATACTTCCTTCCCAAAGAGAGGGATTCGTAACTTAGTCAGGGCCCTGGTGACTGAACATCAACGGTAGATTGCATGCTTCGCCCTAGCTGGCTGCAGTTTGAGACTGGCTTCTGTGTGACACTGTGCTGACATTCTTACACCTCTCAAGAGAATATATGAGAAGGCGGTGCCGCTGTAATAAGCGAGACGAGGCCCTGCGCAGACCCGCAGATTGAGCAAGCAGGGTGAACTGAACTTCTCTCTCTGTCACTCTGTTTTGTTCATTTTCCGTCCTTTGTTTTGTCTTTCTCTCTCTCTCAGACCTGCGGAGTGAGCCTGAAAATGAGTGAGTAGGAGTGCCACTGGGACTGGGTGTGGATGGCCTGCGTGTGGAAGAAGCTGAGCATTAAATGAGAGAGGAAGGAGGCAGGTGAGTGAGGCGGAGGCGTGGCTTTAACAACTAAACCCGCGTACCGAGGATGTAGGGCATCCCCCGAAGACCAGCAGCGACGAAGGCGGCAACGACGACGAAATCGTCGTCGCCGCCGTCGTCGTTCCATTCGCCTACCACCCTGGGGCTGGTCCTGGAAGGCCTTCTGGCCAAGATCTCCCAGCGGACCCAGCCGTGGCGACGAGGGCCCCTGGGGAGGCAACAGAACAAGCCTCACAACACATCATCGTGTCGTCGTTGTCGTCCTCCTCCTCTTCCTGATCCTCCGTCGCCTCCCTCCTGACCCGAATTCACTCCAGATCTGTCCCGATAACTCTCCGACACTCCATGGTGACCCTAAAACAGGGCTAGGATCGGGATAAATCGCTCCAGAGCGTTCCGGAGCGCTCTCAGAGCGTTCCGGAACGCTCTGGAGCGGCCGCGGCGCCCAATACATCCTCCAAACCCGCCGATTCTCAGAGATTTCGAGTTATCCCGATCCGATTTTGTCCCGATCCTCGCGTCGTTTTAGACCCTCTCTCCGAGCCGCGCCCAGCCATGGCGACGACGGGACCCCTCGCCGAAAGAGCCCCGCAGGACCCCGACCGGATTTCTCGGCGGGCCTCGGGCGGCCGTGCTCGGGGCGGCCGTTCGGAACTCCCAGGAATGTACAGAAACCCTCGGAAATCTTGACTGGTCGTCGTCGTCGTCGTCGTCGTCGTCGTCGTCGTCGTCGAATCGCTGTCGTCACCGCCGCTGTCGCTGCCGCTGCCGCCGCCGCCGCCGCCGCCGCCGCCGCAAAGGGTGAAAACCGCCGACCTGTTCTTGTCGTCAGGGCGCGAGAGGATCGACTAAAATCCGTTCAACATCGATCCCTCGGCCCATGTCGGCATCTACCCTGTTCAGTCTTTCGAGCTGCCTCCAGCCGTGACGATGAGAACCCCAGACACGTTCAAAAAAACCTCGGCCCCCCACTCGCCGAAGGACGACGCCGACGTTGGATATCCGAGGTCGCCGTCGCCAGCAGGCCCGACCTAGATCGAATCGCGAAATTCGACCAGATCGGAAACGGATCGGATCGCAGGCGAATCGTCCCGAATCCAATCGAAATCAGATCGCCGCGCCTGTCTCTGGCCGGCTCTGGCCGCTGCCCGTGAACCGATCCGAACCGAACCGAAGCCGCGCGGCATCGCAGCCCCGATCCGCCAACCGACTCGCATGGCATCGGATCGAAAGCGGGGGCCGGTCGTCGTTGGCGGCGTCTCCTGGCGGAATGACGCGGCTGCGCGACTGGTGCCTGCTGGCGGCGCGCACTCCGGGGGTGGCGCGAGGGGAGGGGCCCTCCAAGAAGCCGAGGGGCTTCCAGGAAGCCGAGGGGCCCTCTCCCGAGGGGCCTCGAGGCTCCCACGAAGACCTCTTGAGGGCCTGCAGTGTCTCGGAGAAGGCCCCTGCCGTCTTGGAACCCCCGCAAACCTTCTTGGCGGGTTCTAGGAAAGCACCAACTATACACCAACACCGATCCTGGCCAGGATCACCCTGGGCCCAGGATCGGTGTAGGTGTATAGTTGGTGCCCTCCGAGGTTCCTGAAGCCCTGAATCCCGACATGTTGCCGCCTCCTCGGGGGGCATTTTTTCCTTCCGCAGGCTTCCGCTGGCAGAGGTAGCCTCGCTCGACTCCCGCCGCCTTCCGCCGACCCTCCGCCCGGAAAGGGTGTGCCGACTCCTTCGACCCTCGGCGGCGAAACCCTTTCCGGGACCCGCCTCTTTCAGAGGCCCACCGCCCCCTCGCGCCCCCTCCTCCTCCTCCTCCTCCTCCTCCTCCTCCTCCTCCTCCTCCTCCTCCTCCTCCTGCTCCTCCTCCTCCTCCTCCTCCTCCTCCTCCTATCCTCCTCCTCCTCCTCCTCCTCACTCCTCCCCTCCTCCTCTCCTCCTCCTCCTCCTTCTCTCTCAGAGGCCCATCGCCCCCTCGCGCCGCCCCTCCTCCTCCTCCTCCTCCTCCTCCTCCTCCTCCTCCTCCTCCTCCTCCTCCTCCCACTCCTCCTCCTCCTCCTCCTCCTCCTCCTCCTCCTCCTCCTCCCTCCCCTCCTCCCTCCTCCTCCTCCTCCTCCTCCTCCTCCTCCTCCTCCTCCTCCTCCTCCTCCTCCTCCTCCTCCTCCTCCTCCTCCTCCTCCTCCTCCTCCTCCTCCTCCTCCTCCTCCTCCTCCTCCTCCTCTCTGAGGCCCACCGCCCCCTCGCGCCGCCCCCTCGTGTGCACCGCCGAGCCTGGGCCGCCGCCGCGCCCACGACGGCCCTCGCCGCGGCGGGTGCCGCCGGCCTCGCCTCTCGGGGGACTCGGGGCGGGCCGCTGACCGGCGTCGTCGCCACCGCCGCAGCCGCCGCCGCAGCCGCCACAGCGCCGTCACGCTGCCGCAGCCGTCGCCGTGTCGTCGCCGTCGTCGTCGTCGTCGTCGTTGCCGTCGTCGTCGTCGTCGCCGCTACCGCCGCCGCCGCCGCCGCCGCCGCCGCCGCCGCTGCCGCTGCCGCTGCCGCCGCCACGGTTTCGTCGCCGCCGCCGCCGCCGCCGCCGCCGCCGCCGCCGCCGCCGTCGTCGTCGTCGTCGTCGTCGTGGTCGTCGTCGTCGTCGTCGACGTCGTCGTCGACGTCGTCGTCGTCGTCGTCGTCGTCGTCGTCGAGGAGGAGCGAGATCTCGGGATGCTTCTGGCCATTTTTGGGGCTCCGTTGGTCTGCTTGGGATTCTGGAGGCCTCCCAGGCGCCGCCGCCACCGTCGTCGTCGTTGCTGAGGATGGAGATTCGAGGAACGAGATTTAAGCTATGTGTCTCCTTCCCCCTCCTGCTCCTGCTCCTGCTCCTGCTCCTGCTCCTGCTCCTGCTCCTGCTCCTCTTGCTTGTCCTCTGCCTACTCCCCCCCGTCCATCCTCCCTCTTCGTTCCCCTCTCTCTTCTCCCGTTTCTCCTCTTCCCCATTCTCACCATCCTCCCTCCTCGCTCGTCCTCCCTCCTACTCCATCCTCTCATCTTCCTCCTACCACTCCTCCTCCTCCTCCTCCTCCTCCTCCACCTCCGCATCGTCCCCGCCTCCTCCGCCGCTGCGCCTCCTCCTTCTACCTGCCCGAAGGGCGGAGTTTCTGATCACTGGGAGTGGCCAGAACAAGACAGCTGGGGGAACACCGTCGAGTCATCTCCGTCGCCTTGAGGTGCCTCTTAACCTGGAGGAGGAGAGGTAAGAGCAGAATCGTCGAAACGCCTGGAGGCCAGAACGCTTTGGGAATATGACTACGGAAGCGGTTGCGGAGCCTCCTGTGCCGCCTCCTGGACCGTCTGAGACGCTGTCAACACGCGGAGAAGCGACGATGCTGAAACTGCACGTTTCCTTTAAAAAAGGATTTCGGAGATTTCTGCTTCCTGGGGTGCTTGTGGGAGGCCTCTTGAAGCCCTCTTGGGGCGTCTTGGCGGCCTCTTGGCCCTTGTTGACGCCATATTGGGGCCTCTTTTTTTTGTCCGTACGTTGATGCGTTAATCAGAGGGCTGAGATACCGTGGCCTGACGGGGATGAGGATGGGTGAGTGATACTGGAGCCATGCAATCAAAGACCACGACACGCGGCGACGCGGTGCGGGGCTCGCCACCGGTGAAACAGAGGAGGAACACGCCGCGACACTGGACACGCGGCATCGCCTGGACGGCCAAGGCCTGGTACGGGCCCGCCGTGGCATAGGACACGCGTAGACACGCGGCAGCCTGCCCTCGCCTTTGCCTCCGAGGCGAACGACAGCCGTGGGCGCCAAGAGCGAACGCCGCGCACGCCGCCACTGGTCGCTGCAAGCCGCGTGGCTGCCTGTTGTTGTGGCGAGGATGCTGTCGGTCGGCTCGGCGTGTGTGCGCTGGCGCAGGCCACGCGCTGGCTGTATGAGGTGGGCGGAGCGCCAACACATTCGACAGCAAGCCTCCCTTCGGGCTGGCTGCTGGCCAGCGCGTAGACAGGGTGACGTCGTGCCCCTGGCTCATACAGATGCCACGCCAGCAGCAAGCAGAACGCCGCGAAGATGTCCCCGCCCGTGCTGGCGCAGAGGGGTTGGCCCCAAACGGCTGCTTGGGACCACTGCGGCCTGCGACGCACATCGCTGATGCCGGCAAGCAGCTGTGTCCGCACACGGATGACATGTTACACAGGAAGGAGTTAAGGCAGTGCAATATACCTTCGAAATATGGGAGCACCAACTTGGGTTGGGTCTACTCACGAAAGACACGACCGCGCAGAGGGCGCAGCCGTTTGAAGGGGAGGAACGGGACGATGAAGAGGAGGGAGATGAGGAGGAGGAGGAGGAGGAGGAGGAGGAGGAAGAAGAGGAGGAAGAAGAGAGACGGAAACCGGGTGTGTGGTACCTGAGTCGGGGGGGGGGCATCGGGGCCATCGCTCACCGAAGCCAATCCGAATTCACCAAATATCAGGTATCGCCACGGGCCGATGCAAGGGCGCACTGCCAATCGGCGGCATATGAGTACATTCCACAGTTGTATCACCGACAAGGTTGCCCTCGGTAGTTGGGGCCTTGCTATTGAGGGCCTCGTCGTACAATGTACTGACGGTCTCCCAATTCACCACTCTCCACCAAGCTTGCATGTAGGCTTGGTGCTGGCACTGGAACTGCTCCAGGCCGCTGGCGTGATCCCAGACGCTGCAGGCCAGGATTGGGGCCCCAGGGATATCCTCCTCGGCGCCGTCCACGAAGGGGTTTTCCTGGCTCAGCGTGGACGTGATAGCCAGCCTGCTGTCAGCGGTCACCACGAGCCAGGCCCAGGCGGAGCCACCTCGGGCGCACTGGGCCTCGAAGCGGGCCTTGAACTCGCCCATGGACCCGAAAGCCTCGCGGATGGCCCCCTCGAGGCTGGCAGACGGCTGGCCACGGGTGCCCGCTGGCGCCGTGCCGACCCGCGGCGGCAGGGGCGGGGAGACCGGCCCGCCCGCAGTGCCAGGGTCAGCGTCGCAAGCTTGCGCACTGATCCGCAGGGCTCCAGGCTGACCCGAATGGCTAAGAAGGTCCGTGGGCGCGGTTGTTGCCGCGCGCTTTCGACGCTGGTACCTCGTGATGATTGTGACCGCAAAGACCCACATAGCGATGCCGCCCGCGAGGACAAGACCGAACAGAATCATGACTTCAATGCTCGTCACTCCCGCGCTAGATGTACTCTGGTCCATGCCGAGCCACGTCAGATCATGGTTTACTGTGCTGCTGGTCTCGCTGATGCTGGTCGTGCTGGTGCCAGTCAAGGTCCTGCTGGTTGCGGTGCTGCTGGTGTGGCTGATGCTGGTCGTGCTGGTGCCAGTCAGGGTCCTGCTGGTTGCGGTGCTGCTGGTGTCGCTGATGCTGGTCGCGCTGGTGCTGCTGGTCTCGCTGATGCTGGTCGCGCTGGTGCTGCTGGTCTCGCTGATGCTGGTCGCGCTGGTGCTGCTGGTCTCGCTGATGCTGGTCGCGCTGGTGCTGGTCAGGGTCCTGCTGGTTGCGGTGCTGCTGGTCTCGCTGATGCTGGTCGTGCTGGTGCCAGTCAAGGTCCTGCTGGTTGCGGTGCTGCTGGTGTCGCTGATGCTGGTCGTGCTGGTGCTGCTGGTCTCGCTGATGCTGGTCGCGCTGGTGCTGCTGGTCTCGCTGATGCTGGTCGCGCTGGTGCTGCTGGTCTCGCTGATGCTGGTCGCGCTGGTGCCGGTCAGGGTCCTGCTGGTTGCGGTGCTGCTGGTCTCGCTGATGCTGGTCGTGCTGGTGCCAGTCAAAGTCCTGCTGGTTGCGGTGCTGCTGGTCTCGCTGATGCTGGTCGCGCTGGTGCCGGTCAGGGTCCTGCTGGTTGCGGTGCTGCTGGTCTCGCTGATGCTGGTCGCGCTGGTGCTGCTGGTCTCGCTGATGCTGGTCACGCTGATCTCGCTGATGCTGGTCAGGGTTCTGCTGGTCCGGGTCGTGGTGGTTTCGCTGGTGCTGCTGGTCGGGCTGGTGCTGCTTCTGGTCTCACTGCTCGACAAAGTGCTCGAACTTGTGATAGTGAAGGTTGAAGAGGTGGTTGTGGTTGCCACGCCAAGGCAGATGTTTTGTTGTTGTGTTGAAGTGTAGCTCGGGTTCGGTGACTGATCGTTGAACATGACCAAGTCCGCTTCAATGTTATACACGCAGCCGTAAAAACTCATGCCATCCCAAGTGGGCTTTCCGATAGTCTGCTTGTCGCCCAAGCCAACTCGATTATGCTGCACAGCATCTCCGAAACACTCATCCTCGGAAAGCACGTCAGCGAGCTGGTACGATGCACAGCTCTGATCTGGAGGAAGCAAGGAATAGGGCTGATGCGTGTTGGAAACAGTAGTGGCGGTGATGCTGGACTCGCTTGTGCTGGTCGTTCCAGTGATGGTCGTTCCGGTGCTGGTTACGGTGCTGCTGGTCTCGCTGATGCTGGTCGTGCTGGTGCCGGTCAGGGTCCTGCTTGTTGCGGTGCTGGTCAGGGTCCTGCTGGTTGCGGTGCTGCTGGTCTCGCTGATGCTGGTCGCGCTGGTGCTGCTGGTCTCGCTGATGCTGGTCACGCTGATCTCGCTGATGCTGGTCAGGGTTCTGCTGGTCCGGGTCGTGGTGGTTTCGCTGGTGCTGCTGGTCGGGCTGGTGCTGCTTCTGGTCTCACTGCTCGACAAAGTGCTCGAACTTGTGATAGTGAAGGTTGAAGAGGTGGTTGTGGTTGCCACGCCAAGGCAGATGTTTTGTTGTTGTGTTGAAGTGTAGCTCGGGTTCGGTGACTGATCGTTGAACATGACCAAGTCCGCTTCAATGTTATACACGCAGCCGTAAAAACTCATGCCATCCCAAGTGGGCTTTCCGATAGTCTGCTTGTCGCCCAAGCCAACTCGATTATGCTGCACAGCATCTCCGAAACACTCATCCTCGGAAAGCACGTCAGCGAGCTGGTACGATGCACAGCTCTGATCTGGAGGAAGCAGCGAGTACGGCTGCCGAGTGTTGGACGAAGACGTCGTGGTCTCGGTGGTTGTGGTGGCCTCCCTCGCCGAAGGCACGGCCCCGTTCTCACCAGGCTTTTCGTCCGCAGATGGGCGTGCAGGCGCGAACCAGGAGCTAGTATTCGATCTGGCGCTTGCAACGGGTCCACCGATGGCGTGCCCGGTGTAGGCCAGCATGGTAGTACTCTCCGCCGCGGCCCGTGGCCGCCCTGCCAATGCTTCAGCACTCGCCGCTGCCGGTGCAACGGCCAGCATTCTTTGCCACGTGTAGCTGCACTGGGGGCAGCCCGAACACTCCGTCATTGTAACACATCCAGTGCTCCACCCGACTGATCCAAGGCAACGCTTGTTGTCGCAAGCACGTGCGGCCGCGAAACCTCCGAGCTCTCTGTCGGAGTCAGCGGGCGCTCGCGCATTTCGCCTCCTGAGAAGAGCGACCATCACCGATGCGGCCAAGGCGGAAGTGCATGCCAACCGGAACAGAGGACAGCCGCATGTTCGTCGTTGCAGCAAGCCATCGAAACGAAACATCTTGAGCCAAAATGGCTACGGTGTTGACGCCATATTGGGGCGTCTTGGGACGCTCTCGGAGCAATTTGGGCAGTCTTGAGCCGGTCCTGGCGGCCTTTGGAGCCGCCTGGAGCCCTCGGGGCCCCCACAGGTCGCCCAGGACCTCCATACCACCACAGGGCAGGGGTCCGGCCCCCCCCCTGGCCAATTCCGATATATATATATATATATATATATATATTCCTCTTCCTATATTTTTGAAAACCCGGGCGGGGGGAAAACCCGTCACCCCCCCCCCCCCCCCAAAACCGGACTCCTGGGACCTGGGGCTTTGGGGCCCTCCGAACGGGCCTCGAAGCGGCCACCGGGCCTCGCAAGGCGTTTTGCCAAGCCTTCCCAGCACACTTAGGGCGATCAGGGCGGTCATCGGAGACGCCCCAAAGACCCCCAAGACAGCACAAGAGCGCTCCAAGAGCGACCGACGTGACCTCAAGATGGCCTCAGAGGCCTCCAGGACGGCCCCAAAGAGGCCTCCAAGAGCACTCCCAAGAAGGCCCCCCGAGGCAAAAATCATTGGTTTTTGGTGAATTTTGGGGTTCTCCTCTTTTCGGCTTCCCGACGCTCCAAGACGGCGGTCTTCTGGGCGTCCGAAGCCGCCTGGGAGGCTCCCAAATCGCCACACAACCATCCGAAAGGGCTTCCAGGCAGTCCAAGAGAACCCCAAAACGGCACAACACGGGTCCAAGATGGCGCTCAGAGAGCCCCATGGCGGCACAAGATGGCCCAAAGACACCCTCCGAAGAATTCCAAATCGTGATTCGGTCGTTCAGGGAGACGGCGGTTGGAGGCAGGGTGGCCCGAGGAAGCCCCCGGAGGCCCTCAGAATACGCCCAGGAGGCCTCCAGAAGGCATTAAGAAAGCCCGAAACAACTTTTGTGAGGCCCCTAGAGGCTCTCCAAGGAGGAGCCTCTGCAAAAAAGAGCTGAGGAGGATGGGGAGAATGCGCAGGGTATGGCGAAAATAAGAGACAATAAGCATGGAGGAAGGATAACGAATAACATCATTATAGCGGCGATGCCGGAAAAGGCAAACAGGAGTTATCGCTAAATTGTCGGTTTGACCTTCCTGCCATTCCGCCTGCATACCAAACTTCAAGGACCAAGGTGCATGGCGCGAAGCGCCACTGCAGTCTTGTATGTATATATATAATATAAGGTGTATATATACATAGATGTGTCTGTCGGTCTGTCTGTCTGTCTGTATGTATGTATGCATGCATTGAGGTAAGCATGTCTGTATGTACATGCATACATGCATGCACCTATGAATGTATGCACCTGTATGTATACACGCATGCGTGCTTGTATGCATGCATGCATATATGTATGTATTGATGCATGCATGTATGTATGTATGTATGTATGTATGTATGTATGTATGTATGTATTTATGTATGTATGCATGCACTCATGGATAAGTGTATGCATGCGTGTATGCGTGTACGTATGTATGTATATGTGTATGTATGTATGCATGTATGCATGCATGAATGCATGCATCTATGTATGAATGTATGGGTACATGTGTATGTATGTGTCGCTGCATGTATGTGTGCATGTACGTACGTATGCATGCATGTGTGCATGTATGTGTATGTATGTATGTATGCATGCATGCATGCATGCATGTATACATGCATGTATGTATGCATGTATATGTGCATGTATGTATGGAATGGTGTGCATGCATGCTTTTATGTATGGACTGTGTGCTCATGGACGGACGGAGGGATGAGTTGATGGATGGATGGATTGATGGATGAATTGAGGTATGTATGTACACATTTATATCTTTATGGATGCGTGTGTGTATATATGGGTGTATGTATGTATGTATGTGTTTATGTATGTATATGTGGATGTGCTGGTGTATGGATGTTGTGGATGCATGTATGCGTGCATGATTGCATGCACATATGAATGCATGTGTCTGTATGTATGTATGTCTGCATGTATGTGTGTATGGATGTATGTATCTGTGTATGTATGTATGTATGGGTGTGCATGTATGCATGGCTGTATATATGTACGTAGGTAGGTAGGTAGGTATGCAGGTGTGTAAGGTGTGTGTACATGTATGCATGTATGTGTGTATGTATGTTGTAGGTGTGTGTCTATGTATGTGCGCACGTATGTATGCGGATATGCATGTATGTGCGTGTATGCGTGTATGTATGCATGCATGTATGTATGTATTTATGTATGTGTGCGTGTGTGAAGTATGATGCATATATACATATATGTATGCACGTATGTATGTGTGTATGTATGGTTGTATGTACGTATGTATGTATGTATGTATGTACGTACGTACGTACGTACGTACGTATGTATGTATGTATGTATGTATGTATGTGTGTAGGTGTGGATGTGTGTATGTATGTATATATATATATACACATATGTATATATATATATATATACATATGTATGCATGCATGTATGTATGTATGTATGTATGTGAGAGAGCGCGATCCACCGCCGCTTTACTCTGGAAAATTGCCAACCTTTTCCTCCGGAACCCGGGGGTCGCCCCTCCCCCCCCCCCCGAAAATCCCCCCCCTCCTGCCTGCTGGAACCCTCCTCCCCCCCCCCCCTCCCCCGGCAAAACCCCCCCCTCCCCTAACCCCTCCCCCCCCCCCTCCCCCTCGAAAACCGGGGGGGGTCACTACCGGTTCGAACCCCTCCCCCCCCCCCCCCCTCCGGATCCGGAAAACCGGGGGGGGTCACTACCGGTTCGAACCCCCCCACCCCCCTCGAAAACCGGAGGGGGATCACTACCGGTTCGAACCCCTCCCTACCCCCCCACTCACCGCCAGCAAACGACTCCCGGTCCCTACCACCGTCCGCATCACATCCTCCACTGTTGTTCCCAGCACCACTGTCCTCACCACCACTGTCCCCACTGTGTCCCCACCAGTGCCCCCACCACTGTCGCACTGTCCCCACTGTCCCCACCACTGTTCCCACCACGGTTCCACTCTCCCCACTGTCTCCACGGCCCCAACCACTGCCCGACTATCCCCACTGTCCCCACTGTCCCACTGACTCCGCCGCTGTCCCACTGAGCTGTCCCACTGTTCCCACCACTGTCCCCACTGTCCCCACCACTGTCCCCACTGTACCTCTGTCCCATTGTCCCACCGCCGTCCTCGCCACCGCCTTCACCACTGTCCCCACCACCATTGTACCCTCCACTGTCCCACTGTTTCCACCTCATTCCCACTGTGCCCACACCACTGTCCCCACCACCACCGTCCCCACCACTGTCCACTGTCCCCCCTGTTCCCACCATTGTCCTCACCACTGTCCCCACCACTACCGGCCCTCTACTGTCCCACTGTCCCACTGTCCCCACCACTGTCCCGCTGTCCCCTCACCACTGTCCCACCAACACCGTCCCCACCTCTGTCCGCACCCCCACTCGGTTTTCGAGGGGGGGGGGGGGGTTCGAACCGGTAGTGACCCCCCCCCCTTTTCATGATGAGCTGGGGGGGGGGGGGAGGGGTTCGAACCGGTAGTGACCCCCCCCCCTTTTCATGATGAGCTGGGGGGGGGGGGGAGGGGTTCGAGCCGGTAGTGACCCCCCCCGGTTTTCCGCCAGCAGCGGTAGAACACGCTCTTTCATGTATGTATGTATGCATGCATGTATGTATGTATGTGTGTATGTGTGTATGCATTCATGTATGTATGTAAGTATGTGCGTATGCATTCACAAGCGTGTGATCATATATGCTGATGTAGGTGTGCATGTGCAGTATGTCCGTGTTTCTACGACCTAGCCTCCTCCAGTACGGCCCTAAGACCGCCTAGAAAAGCTCTCATATCAAACAATCCTCCAAGACTGATTCCGCGCAGCCTGAAAGGGCCTCTTGACGGCTCCAAGAAAGCCCCATACTGGTGAGGGGTCCAAAACGGCTTCGGAGAACCCCTCGACGGTCCAAGGACGGCCCCACGGCTGCCAGAAGTGACCCGCCAGACGGCCAAGAGGGCCCCCATGACGGCCTAGAAGTGGCCCGAAGGACCACCGAGACTGCCATACAGGAGCCCAAGGAAGGACGGAAGCAACGAGTACGACGACGAAGACGAGAAACTAATCCCCGACACGACGCGGAAGGGTGTGTCACATGTTGCGGCTCTCGCAAGCTTCGGGACAGGAAATGTCACACGTTACGGCCTCCCTGTGCGTCCCCCGAACAGTCGCAACCCATGGTGGCGGGCTGGTACAGTGGCGGGGCTTGCCGAAGGCAGCTGGACAAGCAACGACAGAGCTTCCCTGGCCAAGGCAAGCCTCGACCCAGATCTGCAGAGCGGCCCCAAACCCAGAGACACTCCTGAGCCCAAAGTGGTCCTGATTTCAGCGTCTTGACCGCAGTCGATCGAGATCTTTGGCGGCGCGTGCAGGGGGAGTGGCCTTGTAAGAAGGCGGGATGCTTCTTAGAAGGCGGGATGCTTCTTAGCAGGCGGGGGCCTTGTGGGCCTTCTGGGAAGGCTCCAGAGAGGCTTCTGGGACGGCTCATCAGAAGCCCGGAGGGCTTTTAAAGACGGCCCCCGCCGGTGTACGAGGCGCCCCGCCTTCTCACACGGCCACGCCCCTCGCTCCACCCCCTTGTGCGCGCCGCCAGGATACACGTCGTTCATTTCTAGCCGTGCTCTTTCTAGTTGTTCCTGGCCCCTCAGTGGCCAGGAAGAGGCCCAGGACAGAACAATTAGAAACGAAAAGACCCTGGCACCCCAAAACATCGAGGACCCTCCGAAGAGGTAGAGAAGTGAACAGTGCGTGTATCCCTTCGGGAGCGGCCAAGAGGGGGGTGTCCAAGAGGGGGGGGTGCAAATCATGACCGGCGGCATGTGCGCGACCCAGCGGGGGGGCCAGGAACGTAATGATGCAAGAAGAGGCGCCATGAGATCTGGGGAGATATCATGGCCCGCGCCATGATATCCACCCCCCCCTATTCATCACCCCCCTCTTTTCCGCC